CTTGTTGGGGATTAAACACACAACACACACAAATATCTGCGAGAATCAAGAGAGAAACGGAACACAAACGACACACAAGAATTTAACGTGGTTCGGTTTCCCTAATCCACGGCTGCAACAGGAGGATTTTCTTATTTCACTTGTGGTGCCGATTACAAGTACAAGTATGCAATATATATAGGAAGAGTGCATCTAGGGTTTCGTAAAATGGGCCGGGCCAAAAGTCAAGCCCAAGCCTCCACAAACCCAACAACTCTTCCACTAATTTTTAGTCCCACACCGAAACACCTCTTATGCTATTGCCCTCTTGTCTTGCCTCTCCGTTTCTTTTGCATTATTCATCAGTTCTTATTAAATTTTTTTTTAAAATAAAAGTGCTAACAAGAAATAGTCAAAATAAAATTAATATTTTTAAAAGAATTGAACATAAATTACTACTCCCTACTAGAATTAACTATAGTTGGGCATTTAAATTTCTTTCTCATTTTTTTATAGTGAAATGAGAAAGATGAAGATATATTGAAAAGAAGAGTAAGATATTGTATGAGAGAGAAATTAGAAATGGAGAAGTGAAGAATTTGAAGGGTTGAAAAAAAAATGGAACCGGCATGGCACCCGCGCTCCAGTGGACGGCCGCTGGGAGAGTTATTCCCACTGCAAGACCGGCGAGGCGAGGCGGGCATCTTGCTCTTCCGCAAGATTCGGCGCGGTGGGTATTCTTGGCACCATTGTAAGTGCTATAAAGCCCACTACATATGGTCTAAGACAAAGAGAATATTAATTAATGATGAAGGGCTCGATCAATAGTGAAGTTTCAAAAATTAATTAAGAATTTTCCCGAGATTTGATTTGACTTAATTAAGAGAATGTGATAATTAATGGTTGACATGCGCATATAAGGAGTGTATATTAAAATAGATACCCAGTAGAATACAATGTTGAAGAGGAAAGCAGCTGGTATGCACTGATTGGAACCAATACAAAACGCGAACAGATTTCAAATACTCCGTCTATTTTAGAAAGGAAAAAAAACCTAAGGTAACTACTAATTACGTTAATTAAACCACACATATATATGTGTAAATATATAAATATAAATCCCGGAGGCGTGTTTCACTTATTTAATTTAGGGGACGAGGAAGAAAGATGAGAGGTTTGAATAATTAAGGGGGAAAATTAGAGCTTGACGACTTCAGGAATGAAAACAGGGTATTGATGAATGGAGTCGGCCCAGGGACTGTCGGGCAGGGGGGAGTTAATGGTCCTGTTGCACTTCCAGACGGCGCTGTTACACTTGAACCCACTCCCGAACCCAATCTGCCACACCCTGTCCCCTCTCTTCATCCTCCCCTTCGCCTCAATGTAGCTCATCTCGTACCACAGCGACGAAGATGACGTGTTCCCGAACCTGTGCAGCGTCATCCTCGACGCCTCCACGTCCTCCCCCGACAGGCTCAGTCTCTTCTGGAGCTCGTCTATGACCGCCCGCCCCCCCGCGTGGATGCAGAAGTGCTCGAACGCCTTCTTGAAGTCCGGCACGTACGGCTTCGATGCTTTTGTTGATGATGACCTGTACAGCTTGCGGGCGATGAAAGAGATGACGAACATGATCTGCTCCGACGCCGGGAGAACAAGGGGCCCGATGGTGGTTATATTCGACTTCAATGCCTCTCCCGCCACTTCCATGAGGTTTATGCACAAGTTTATCCCGATGATCCCTTCCGGATCCTCTTGCTGGAACACGCATTTGTAGGAGTCGTCCTTGTGTCCCATATGCGTCCGGACCACGTGCATGAGCCTGTACTTGGCTCTCCCACGGTCCGACCTCTTGTTCGACAACAGGACCGCCGCTCCTCCCATTCTGAACAAGCAGTTCGGGAGGAGCATCGATCTCTCCTTCCCTGTGTATGAGTTGGGGGACAGAATCTCCGTGCTGACGACGACTGCATTCGAGTTGGGGTACGTCTCGAGCAAGTCCCGGGCTAAATCTAAGGATATGAGCCCGGCGCTGCAGCCCATACCGGAGAGGTGGAACGTCTTGACGTTACACCTCAGCTTGTATTTATTGACCAGCATGGTTGACATGGAAGGGGTTGGGGAAAACAAGCTGCAGTTGACGATGAGGATGTCGATGTCTTTAGGGTTGAGCTGAGTCTTAGCTAGAAGGTCGTCCATTGCGGGGAAAATCACCATCTTCGCCTCTTCCCTAGCAACGTCCATCGTGATAGCAGGTGGGATGTAGTGCATCGCAGGGGGAAGACAAGTCTCCTCCCCGAGGCCGGAGCGCTCAAAGATTTTCATCGTGAAGCGCATGCCCTTGGGGTTGTCGGGCATCATGAGTGTCCCGTGCTCAGATGCACGGGAGAAAGGGACCCGGTACATGGACGGTGGCTTGAAACATGCGTAGTCGACCAGGTAGACGCTGCAAGGGCGGGACATTACGTACAGAGCGGCGGCATAGACTAGTAGGAGAAGTGCGGGGATGGCAAGTGGGAAAGAAGCGGCGAAGGGGAATTGCTTGAGGAGGTCATGATAAGAGCCAATCCGATGTATGGCTTGCTTGAAGACCGGGAGTAGCGTGGGTACAAGGATTATGAATATGAGGATGTAGCTCCCAAAACAACGGGAAACTAGTTTCACATATCTTTGATTCAGGGGGTTGGGAAACTTAGTCTCCTTGGGAAGCATTTTCTTTCTTTTGATTGCTATGATTGAGCTTCAATGTGTGTGAGTGTGTAGCTTTTCTAGAGTTCATATATAAAAAAACTACGTAGTATTAGTAATAGAAAAATAAAATAATGAAAGGTGGCAGATGGAAGTTTTAAATGCAACCAAACTGCCACACTCCAATCTATTTACTACACATGTAAGAAAACTCTTATGGCTACTGGCTAGTAGTAATAATTTAATACCGAGTAAATGCGGAGGGATATATAAAAATATCTTCTAGTATAGAAAAGAGAGGCTCTCATGAAGCATAGGGGAAGAAAGTGATCAAATAGAGTCTTTCATTCATTATTATATTGATCCAGACCGACAGTAAGTTGAGAAGAGATAAATGAAGTTACAATCTCAATTTAATTCTATCCTCGATATGTTACAAGAAGCTACCTCATGTTGAGAATGATGAACTTTTGGAGTTCTTTAATCAACTCTAAGGATTGGTTTTTGAAATACTTGAATAGATCTAGAATGCATGGTATCGTCGACTCTACTGATTATTCTGATCTTGAATAAATAGTTTTTAATAGGAAAGTCATTTGAAGTTTTGAACATGGCAAACTCTTTTAATAGAAAGTCATGTGAGAGAGTTATGTGAAAGAATTTTTGTTCTCCTCTACTGAGTAAATATATTTAAATAGCCAATTTTTTTTTTAAATTCAGCCGTAAAATTTAGAAAAACTTAACAATTGTTTGTAGCAGAAGAAGTTTGATGAGAATCGTTCAACGGGCGGGATGGAGGGAGGGAGTACCGGACCGGAGTAAATTGACTGACGGACTGACTGACATATGGCTGGTGGGGGGAAGCAGATGGATGGCCGGCCGGGCATTGAATGTTTGATTGATAAATTGGAATGGGCTTTCCGAAGACCACGCGTAGCGTACGTACGTAGGGAGGCTCGTAGCAGCATGGTCCATTGTACGTGTAATAATCAATGGTACTTGGTGTATAATAAACACATGCCCCCAATAATTCTCTCTTTTTTTTACTCCCTCCCTCTTTAAATAAACTTCTTTTTTTATTTAAAGAGTACTTAGAATTTGACTAGAGAAGATAAATCTTTTTGACTACATAATTATCTCTTTTTAAGAAAAATTTGAAGATTGTCGGACGGTTTTTTTTTCATTTTTTTCCCCGAGAATTGTAAGAAAAAGATATTCAGTTCACAAAGCTTCTTTCAACCCTACACTAATTCAAACCCAAATCATATACTCCTCCATCTCAAAATTAGCATTTTAGTTCGACTTTTGGCACAATTTATATTACTCCGAGTATTATATTATACAACCGGATGTACCCAAAGTTGGGTACAACCGGTCTTAAGACGAAACTATGTAGAAGAGCAATTGCGGAAGAGCTGGATTGCCGCAAGGAGAACCCTAGGTGCGGCATGGCAGAAGGGTTGGATTGCCCCAAGGCTGCGTGGAAGAGCGTCAACCCTAGGTGCGAATGGGAGTGACGATTCAGGCACTATTTAACAAGGAGCTGAGAAACCCTAGGTCCAGTAATCATTGATGCCTCGTGGAGACAACGAAGAAGATGACAATGTATAAGATTATAAGATTATATTTTCTAAATCTGAAGAGAATAAATGATACGGAGTATGTTATTTGATAATGAACACTACATCATTTGAGAATGAGCATTGCTTTATTTCATAATGAACACTACGTTATTCGTAAATTAATATTATAATTATATTGAAGAAATGTGTGAAAAATGAATACTATGTTATTTTAGAATGAGTACTACGTTATTTCAAATGAATACTTATATTTGTGCGAAAATGAATACTACTTTACTTCAGAATGAATATTACCCGACTGTACCTTACTTCTGGTACAAATTTGATTAAAAAATTTAAATATAAATATAAATAAGTAATTCTTAAATCAATTAAATATGTTAAAATTATAGCTACAAGTGAACTTAATTAAATTATAAAAGTGAAATAGAGAAAATGGCCTAAAGAAGAAAAAGGAACCCCTCGGCCTCGCTACAATCGCCAACTCTCATCGTTAAAATAATTCAACAACGCACTCTCGAACTTCTTTATTATGCAACAAAGATCTTGCTACCCGCAAGAGGTCACGAGGTCGAAATTCACCGTCACCAAGTTCTAAAAAATTAATTTTCACGTGTAAGGTTTGAGAAAAAATAAATCTCGCCTGCACGTGAGGGACGTGTTAGAGTACAAAACCTTTCACGTACGTACTACCACACTTTTGGTTGAACTGATTCCTTGACAAGATATCGCTGCCACAACCACGCCAACCCGATGATCTAGTTCATAGCAGAGGCGGAGATCGAATGACGAGTAAAAAGAAAGAAGAAGAAAAAGAGGATGTGGTGCACAACATGAACAAGCTGGGGCGCTGGCCACAGTGGGAGGCTGTGCTGGCGCTGGAGGTGAGGAAGGAATCGAAGAAGAAGATTTGACGGATGAGATGAGAGAAGAAGAAACAGGGATGAAACGTAGCAATGAAATAAATAATAATATAATATAGTACGAGTATTAAATATAACAGTGTTTAAACTAAACTCTAATTAATTACGAGTAATTAAGTAATATTTTGGAAATAAAAAACTCGTATTCATATTTGGAGGAGAAATGGAATGGGTTTAAGTGAACAATTTTCTCTTACATTCATATCTTCATTTTTTTAAAATAAGTCATACCTTCAATTCATATTTATTTAGTAATAATGATAATATTACTAAATGGGATACTGATGAATGCAATCAGCCCAGGGATTGCCAGGAAGGTGCGACTTTATGGTCCGCTTACATTTCCAAACAGCACTGTTACACTTGAAACCGCTCCCGAACCCAATCTGCCACACTCTATCCCCTTTCTTCATCCTCCCTTTAGCCTCAATGTAGCTCAGCTCATACCACAACGACGACGACGACGTGTTCCCGAACCGGTGCAATGTCATTCTCGACGGCTCCACGTGCTCATCGGAGAGGTCGAGCTTCTTTTGCACGTTCTCTATGACGGCCCGCCCGCCCGCATGGATGCAGAAGTGATCCACCGCTCGTCTAAAGTTTGGGACATACGAGGGTTTATTGAAGAGTTTGGTGGCAACGAGCGCAAGAAAGAAACGGAGTTTCTCTGATAGCGGCAGAAGGAGAGGGCTTATGGTGGTTATGTTGGTCTTCAATGCCTCCGCGGCGACTTCTGGGAGGCTTCTGCTCAGGTTTATCCCGATGAAACCTTCGGGGTCTTCCTCCTGGAATATGCACTTGTAGGACTGGTCTTTATGCCCCATGTGCGTCCTCACCACGTGCATGAGCTCGTACTTGGCCCGCCCCCGGTCGGAAGAGCGGTTGGAGAGAAGAATCGCCGCTCCTCCCATTCTGAAGAGACAGTTTGGGAGGAGCATCGATCTCTCCTTCCCAAGGTAGGAGCTCTGGGTGATGATCTCCGTGCTTAAGACTAGCGCGGTCGAGTTGGGGCAGGTGAGAAGCACATCCCGTGCCAAATCGAGTGATATAATCCCCGCGCTACAACCCATCCCTGAGAGATTAAAGGTCTTGATGTCATTCCTGAGCTTGTACCTGTTGACCACCATGGAAGTGAGTGAAGGAGTGGGGTTGAAGACTCCGCAGTTGGACACGAGAATATCAATGTCGTCGGGACGGATGCCAGTCTTGGCAAGAAGGGCGTCCATGACGGGGATAAGGATCAGCTCGGTTTCCTGAGAGGACAGCTTCAATGTCTTATTTGTAAGATCGATGGGGATGTAATGGAGAGGGTTAGGTATACAGGTGCGCTCCCCTATCCCGGCACGCTCCATGATTTGTGTCTGAAAGGCGATGCTCTTGGGGCTGGTGGGGAAGAGGAGCTGGGCGTGCTCCATGAAGGTGGCAAGGGGGACACGGTAACTGTTTGGGGGTTTGAAGCAGGCGTAGTCGATGAGGTAGACGGATGGAGGTCTACACAAGGTATAGTAATGGAGCACGACTAGTAACAACACAGAGGTGATGAGCGGATTAGTATTAGATGATGAATAAGAAGCAGGTAGTACTGCATGGATACTGAAGGCAATGACGCAGCTCATGATCATAATAATGCCATAGTAAACGGCTGCCTTCATTGACTTGGCCGTGAAAAGGTTGGTTTGTTTTAGAATAAGCATTTATGTGTATGTATATTGGCCGGGTTTGATTAGCGTAACATATACGGGTTAAAGGATTATTGAGTTCAGTAATGGTCGAGGTTAGTTAGTTATCAAAGGATCAGAGAAAGTTAATTACTACGGAGCTATATATATATATATATATACTCTTGTGAGATTGTCAGCCGGGAGATTGAGATCAAGAAGACGTACGCATAATACCTCAGGCATGAGAGATGAATGCAGTTTAGTGTTTCCTTATTTCAAGGTTGCCGGTCTCATGATGAGGTTATCCAATCTTTTTCTTCTTCTTCACACAAAAGACATGAAGCACTATCATCATATACTCCCTCTCATAATTATTTCTTTATTTGGATTGTTTCTTTTAAGAAAATAAATATCTGGTTCATTTATTTTATCTTTCCTCTACATAAACCACAACCATTCAACCACACATTCTACTTTATTAAAAATTGTAAACTAAGAAGAAAATTATAAGACAAAGGGCAGCACTCTAGAGAACGTTGGTACTCTAGTGGCAAACGATGGCACTCCTACGACCCACAATGCGGGTTGATGGCAGAGTGGTGGCAGATGACAGTGTGACAGTTTCTTTTCGTGATACCAATGTGCACTTCTATTTAAATTTTTTAAAAACTAGCATTCCTAATTTAATATTCTTATTCTATTTTAATCCTATTCAGGGAATTTTCCCTAAACGTAATGGCAATGTGGCGAATTATGCGTATTAATTGAATTGCCAAAAATACTCCAATATATTCACTTCATCTTAAATTAATTTGCTTAATTTGACTTCACAAACATTAAAAAAGTATGGAAAATACTGAATAATGAAAAAATGAGGGATTAGAATGTATTTAAAATATGGAGAAGTATTTTAGATTATGTACTGTTTTTTAAGAATGAAAAGAAAAAATGAAAATTTTATTTGGGGCAGTGTGTGTGTGTTTGAAGCAGAGTAGGTGAATGGGTACCTGCAATTTTCTCCTGTAAAAAATTCTGTTAAACCTTCCAGCAACATGTTCCACAGTTCCAGTGTTTCAAAGAAATCATGTATACTTGTCTTGGGGGGTTGAAATGGTATCTGTGGTTAAATGACATAAATCATACAGTATAAGATTGTGTTGCTAAATAAAAGTACAGTTTTTTGGAATACTCTGTACTATTCCCAACCAGATTATCATTATAGGTAACTACTCCCTTAATTTGGGTTTATTTATCCGTTTATCCTTTTTCAGCAATTGGAATAAATTGTTCAATCTCCATTTTAGTAAATAAATAGTTGGGAATGATAAAAAAAATATATCCCTTGAAGCATACTAGCACCAACGTAGGATAAGCTAATTTTAAAAAGTTCATAATTTTACCCACATTCCTTAACATCGTCTTTGGTTCGTGGAATTCAGAAGTAAAACAAGAGATTTTCTTTTCTTTCTCATAAAAATGGAAGGAAAGTTATTCTCTCTTCTTAGTTTTTTTTCTCTTACTTTCTTTTCCTTCAATTTTCCTTTTCTAATCAAACAATAAAAACCGGTTTCCACGTCATTTTCTTTTCTTATCCCTTTCAAATTCATTGAACCAAAATTAGTGTAAATGTGAAGTATTTTGCACACATTCCTTAGAGACTAGAGAGGGAGTATGAAGTTTAAAAAAGCAGCTGATCTGTTTTAAGTTTGAATGTTAAAACCTGTGTTCCATCATCAAATGCCGTAGCAGTTGTTGAGAACTGGCAATCTGCTCGATCAACTTCATTAAAATCAGAGTCTTTCAATACTGCTGCAAACACAAATAATACCAGGAACCCTAACTCAATGATTTTAATAAAGAAAACTTACTCCATATTTACTAATGCCTAGTTGATACCAGATCATAAATAATTTGCTGCTTGATCACTTGACGGGCTCAACTTGAATGCTCTAGGAGACAAGTTCATTTGGCTTCGTTATGTAAATCTGCTCCTATAAGACAAGTTCCTCGCAGACCATGCAATAATATTGGTGGATGCTAAAGAACTTCAGTCATATGATCACACTAATTCACAACCTCCATTTGGCTGAAACCGCCAGAGAGATCAAACTGCAACTATTCAAGAAATAGATCTAATCAAAATTGCTCTAGACACCCATAACTCACAATTTCTATCTAGCAAAAATTTGTGCACAGTCTATACATTTTGTAAGCCACCCTCACGCTACAGTTCCATTGACGAAAGACAATACATAGCTCTCAAACTAGAAACACATTTCAACTAATAGTTTACCGCGAGGTTGTATGATGCTTTGACATCACCAATATTTTTAGTTGTGATTGTTGTTGTCCCCAATTGAGTAAGATCTCAAATGTAGGAGCAGCAATGTCCATAATTTTCCATGGGCTCCTGAAAAAAAGGTATGGCACTAAATCTCCAACTTTATCCAATGTATGGAAAAGCAAAAATCTTCATTAACATAGATAAACCTTTGATACACATATTTTATATCATCGGCACTTAGTTCGATCAAGAGATTGGTATTGAGAACTTCAGTGATTCCTATGGAAAATGCATGACTTCCTGCTTTCTGAAATGATAGTATTTATTGTTTGATGGCAAGAGGATGGAATCATTCTAACTAAAAAATGAAAAGGCATGAACCATAACTGGATGTTGGTTGATCCTCTAAAACCTTCCTTGAACACAGTAAGTGGCACCTGGTTTCTACCGATTCGATTTTGATCTGCATGATAAATGCAAAAATGAAATATATAATGTTATCACTGATATGGGTACAGTTCAAGAATGTGTGGTCAAAACATCCTAAAAGTTCCAAGGTTGGTTATGCAAGCAACTCCAATATGGAGTTGAGCAAAAATTAGGTTGTGAATTGAAGGCCTCAAAACCAACACCAATTTTGTTACTCAAGACCACCTAGAGTAAACCTAATATGCACTAAAAAAAGGGTAAACCTAACTCTCTATAGAAGCATCCACATGGAGTAATTGCTCCCTAGATTTTCAGGTTGACCTGGACCACCCTATGATAACACAGGAGAACAAAAGCTATTCTGATTCTTAAGAGGAAATCAACAGATAAGTTGAACTGAAACACAACTTCCAAATGTGTGTAAACTCATTAGTACTAGAATTCAAACGTTGTCATAGAAAGTTCACAATGGGTTTAAAATAATGAGAAGAATATACATGCCTTGGGATAACGAGGTAGAGATCCTCAAAATATGGAATATCTGTATATCCAACATAGTCTCCAAGAAAAGTCACACTTAAAAATTTATCATGGGATGTAGCAGTCCTATTTCCAGGGCCAACAGTCACTTCNGAATATACTTATCTACATGCAATCTAAACTAGCTATCAAAAAGCCTTACCAATCAATCACCTGGAAACCAAAGACAATGAGCAGTGTTTTTGTTCCCTTTCATCATCTTATCAACTAATTCACACTCACATACACACAAAGCAAAAACAACAACAAAAGAGTTAACAAATTGTTAACCATGCACTGCAGTCTGTTGGCAATTTGGCATTAGAAGAGTTGATATTAGAAGAATACAAAAGTTTCCACAAGATGAAGGAATCATGCACTGTCCACCACAAGGACAACGGATAGGCTGTACAGGCAGTGTTCAAGGAGATAAATAAATAACAAAATTTCATTATAATTGATTTTCATGATCATCAACTAGCATAGAATAACTTTGCAAATTAACTTTGCAACTAGCATAGAACAATAAAAAACAGCATTGTATTTCAAAATAGTTGATTTTGATCATGTAATTATGTAAAGCCAAACCAGAAAAATGCAATCACTAACTAGTATAATCTTTCGAGTGACCAACATTATCAATTGGATTGTTCTATCTAAATTTGAAGCATGTGACTTAACTGCATATGTGATAGTAGTAGCTTTTATGATTTCAACATACACCACCAACAACAACAACACTAAATTAAACTAATTAGTTGCAATCTCTTCCAACACTACCACCAACACTACAGATCGATGCTGCTAGATTAAACTAATTAGTTCCAATCTCTTCCACTTCCACAATCTCCGCCACCATAGAAGCCTCATTCCCACTCTGCTCAGGTTGACAAAATTACTGTCCACATAGTTGTTGTGTAAGTATTGTGCATGAGAGACGGTAAAATGAATGATTACTAACAGAATGGCTGGGAACGACTAGGTTTATGAAGATCTTGTTGGTGCAATTGAGTTGATTGTTTGTATCACAGATAGACTTTCTCACATTTCTGGAGCTTTGATTTTGACATTATTTGAATTGAGGAAATAGATGGTGGAGGGAGAGGAAAAAACCGAAGAAGATGATTTGTTGTGCAAGCGGCTTCATTATGCGGCTTAGGGTCACAGTGTTTGGGCAACGGACATAGGGCCAAAAATGAGTGACTTTTTCCATTACTCTATCTCTCTCCATTAGGGGTGAGCAGATACCATACCGACACCGAAAATTCCCGAAAAAATCTAAAAAAACCGTACCAAAATAAACCGAACCGACAAATGCCGATAAAAACCGAATCTTACCAAACTGAATCTTCCGTTTGGTATTTGGGAATGGGAATTGTCTAGTTCCCGTACCGAATGTACCGAACCGACGTCTTAATAGACAATGGTGTACTGCTGACTTGATGTAGTGGCCCATACGCATATACACACAAATAAGGAATAATTTTTCTTTAATACTTTAATGTTATAACCCAAATTAGGGTTATTTGACTGACTTCTCTCAAAATCTCCGCTCCTAGCCTCCTATCCCAGTGCCGCCTCCTCTTTCTCTGTCGAAGTATCAAGAAGTCTGCCCCTCGCCCTCTCTTGCTCGTCAAGAACTCATCCATCCCGACATTCAGCCTTCTGTGGCCGGCAGCAAGATTCATTTATCATGGTAATTCATCTTCCCAGCTACCCTTAATTAGGCATTCAAAATAGAAATTAACATATTCAATTTGTATTTTTTAAAATTTTATGAATTTGTTCATTACATTTAGTTGATTACTATCTCTTTCACTAGTTTTAATATTTTA